CATTAAAATTCTATTATTTGATTTTAAAATAATTTCAAAATCAGAAAAWTATACTTTAAGTCAATAAAATGGTAACAAGGACCAGATTTGGGTTGCTGGCCTTCAGTTTGACACGTGAACTAAAATATAAGGTTCACTTAATAATGCTCAACCTGTCAAACATGTTCCAACAGCCTCAGCAGATGGTAACTCATAAACAGGTTATTTGACTATTTGGTAATGCAAGTTCACTCCTCTTAATCTAGATTGATTTAGTTCAATAAGTGCTGCATTTGATTATTTTCTTACAAACGTACAAGAAAGTAAAGCTGTGTCTGCCTTTAAAAGCTCTTGTTAAACCAAGGATAACAGAAGCRCACACTCTTTCATTCCCTCCACTCCACAGAATGATGTCATACTGATATTCTTCTGCTTTTCAATTCAAATCATGTTTTCACACTTTGCGTCTTGAACCTCAGTTTCCTAACCCAATTGATTTGGGTCATTTTTTCAGCAACATGCTAAATTGCTCGAGTCAAATGGACAGCCAGCAGACAAGAATGCTTGATTAAACCCAATAAATTACAGGTCCACTAATGTGAGCTTTAAGCACTTTGAGTCTAAAATGTCTTATCTCCCTACAGAGTGTAACGAGATTTTATAGCTTGAAGAAATGTATTCTGAACTGCGCTAAATGCAGCCATGAGTTTTCTTTTATAATCCAGCTGGAGCAGATGTGGGAAAACTTCGCATCAGCAGTCAGGGTGACTAACTTTGATGTAGTCATGGACTACTAATGGAACATTTTTTTTCTTTTCCCTCCTCAATATTGCCAAGTTGAACGGGTTTGTTTTGATGTTATATATTTATTTTCGTTACTGTCTGCAGATTGTTCTTCTCAAGCCTGTGTTTTATTCTGCTCGGCAGATTGACAGAAATGACAGCAGTGAGAGAACAAAAAAAAAAGAATCTCTGGGTTCTGCATGAGCTGAGAGGCTTGTACRAGTGCTAGAATCACAAGAAATGTTTAGCGCGTGGTGGATGACTGAGCATGGTTTTGAAACCTGTACAAAAAAAGAGAAAGTCTCTAAACGGATTCAAGTGAGTTTGCCTTAAAGGTATTCATAACTGGCTGAGTGGTTAAGGGAGTCGTCATTCAAGACGTGAGTTGGGGGTTCGATTCCCTCACCATTCAGTCACATGTCAAAGTGTCTCTGGGGAAGACACACCGAACCCCCACTGCCTCTGACGTGTGATCAGTGAATGCGTGTGATTTAAGCACTGATTAGTCTTCATAGAATGATCCATCTAGATTAGCTTGAGAGGTATCCTGAGTGCTGKGTGAGTGGGTAAATGAGGAAACAGAGAGTAATGTAAAGCCCTTTTAGTATCCTGGTTGGATAAAAAGGTGTTCATTTACCATAAAAAGTAATTTCTAGAACTATATCAAATGGTGCGGTTTACTTTTTCCAGCTATACAATCCTGGTATGCATTCAACATAAACAAAACATAGGGTGAATCTATTGGCCTTAGTCCATGTAGGTAAACAAATATGGCGGGATTCGACATGCAGAGTATTGAGGAGATGTTTAATGCCAGGTTCACACGGCAAGATAATTATACCAATTTTTGGCCTGATTTTTCCCAATCTAACAATTTCAAGAATAGCCTGATTGTCATGTTGGTTCTAAAGATAATCTTATGAGATATTCCTGTCGTGTGTGGTGTGTTGAGTGTCTTTGTCAGCTCGGAAGGACGTTGGGACTACTCTGACCTCAAATCGAGGGTACACTGTAAAAAATGAAATGTTGGATTTACTTAACCATGTTATGTGACCTGGTTCCACTTAACTGAGTTGAGTAAATTCAAAGCAATATACCAGTTTTTTAGCCAAAGAACATGATTATGTTGCTTTGAATTTACTCAACTCAGTTAAGTGGAAGCAGGTAACATAACATGATTAAGTAAATCCAACATTTCATTTTTAGAGTGTATTCAATAGGTTGGTTTGTCTTTGCCCGATATCCTGTGTTTGGTGTTCCCCCAAAAACCAACAAGTACGCAACCTGCAGCCTGTTGATTGTGACGGGTAGCCAATCAGAAATTGAGATGATGGAAACTAGGGTTGGGCATAATCGTATCGTGTGGAATTAATCGTCAAAAAACATTAATCGATTATTTTTTTGCACTTGACGATTAATACGATTAATGCCAGCAGGCAGAGTCTGCTCGGTGCTCCTCTCTGCTTCAAATGTGACAAACATTAAAAAAGGTTCTGTAACTTATTTTTCTACCAACACAACTTTAAATTTGATGTACAGCCTGTAGTCTGTATTTTTTACACAATTTGGAACAGATTTTTACGAAGAACAAATCTTTCCCACTGAACTGGTCATGTGACCAGAACATAAGGATGTCCAGGGGATTAATCGTCAAATTAATCGTTTTCAGCTAAATACCACAATTAATAGTGATTAATTTTTTTTGCCAATATTGCCCAACCCTAATGTAAACATGAAGGAGAATCATACATAAATGTCATGGTGCATMAGGGTGTCCTGTGAACATTTGAGAYGTCTTTTTGTATTTTTCTCTATAAAATATAGTCCACAAATTATGACATTGCATCTTTTTTGTCGGCCATGTTCATTTACTCTGAACTAACGTTAGATCTCAAKAGATTTTTCGTCTGACGTCTGAATGTTCGTGAGTGAAAGCTGTGTGTGGTGTGTTGCATTTTGCTGTACGGCTGTGCACACAATGTAGGACCAAACATTTGATATCTACGATTTTTTTATTGCCAAAAGTGGGGTCRCTCAGTCTTTGAAAATCAACTGACAATTTTAAAATCTTGCCGTGGAAACCAGGCACAAGTTCAAATGTAGGAGTGAATCTGCTGCTAAATTTGAAAGGAAAGACAAAGAATGAGACAACAGTCAAGAATCAGGGACCATGCAGGGCAGTGGAGCAGACACAGCTCTAGACTCAAACACAGGTTTTGCAARCTTCTTCATGACTGAATGTGTTTAGAGTTTCAACATTTTTCAACTGTAGTGTGAATCTTAATTGCTTTGCAGTCCGTGGTTTGCTTTTCAGCTGCTTACCAAAATTTAAGAACACATTACCATTGATACAAAAAAAAGTTAAGAAGCTTTTTTTTTCTTTTGACCAGTCTTTGTGACATTGAATACTTTTAGTTCCTGACATTAACATGAACATGGTTTCAAGACCTCACTTAAATTATAATTAAAGTAAAACTTGATAAGTCTAGACAATGATTTTAATAATGGCTTAAGGGCGTTGTTGGAATTCTAATGAGTGTTGCTTTTTAGGAGTGCTGTCTGACTTGGCCTTAGGTTTCCCTTTCCTTAAGCACAAGTGTGAGCATGTTCACATATCAAACCTATCTGTTTCCTGATGTGTTATCTGCAGGTCAGCCAAGCCCTCAGCACCCCCTCAGCACTGCCGCACTCCCTCCTGCTGCATTCCTCCTTCAGCAGCCCCGAGAGAGCCATAACATTGGGAAAGCTTCTCTCCAGCAGTCATGGCTGTCCGTGGTCAAGAGCCACAGTGACACAAGAGAGCTCAGATCGTCTGTCACTCTGTCTGCAGCGACACCGTACACCCATCACTGGCTGTCTGGCAACACCACAGCTGTGACACAATCTCGTCTTCGTGTGGTTCCCGTCTGCCGGTGCAGATGGACATATAGGGAGGGGCAGCAGACACAAAAGGTTGGAGACAGAAGGGGAGAAAGTGCAGTGGGCTTATGTCACCTTATAGTCTAAGGTTAGTTCATGCAGAGTAATAACTCAAAGGTCCCTCGACGCTTCGCAGTTTCCTGGACTGAATAATGAATGTGCAGCACTTCCATTAGTGTTGAAAGCTGCAATCATTTCGCAGACCGTGATGAATTCTCACGCTCTGGGATTCAGCGATGGGTGTGAGTGATCTATAGGGATACGTTTATGTCTCCAGCTTTTTGTTTGTATTCATGTACATGTATTTATGTGACTGAGTTCTGCTTGTTGAAACAAGTGAAAATATGAGACA